TATCTATCCCAACCTCTTTGAATACACAGATGCAAAATGGACATTCATCGGTATACCCCATTTTTTCTAAGTTCCGTTATTGAAGTTAGCTTTTCATTTGGTTCGTGGTTTCAGAGATTTCAGTCCATGGTTAGCTGGCTCCATTGCTTTTGGCCCTGTGGTGAGGTGAGCGAAGTGACTCATATCAGGGGACAGCGCAGGTGGGGAGGAAGAGAGAGGGAAGAAGAGAAAGGAGAGGGAGGGATGGAGAGGAGACAGGGAGCGGGGGGACTTCCTCCAGGTAGGCCCCACCTCCTGCAGCTCTACCACCTCCTCCAGCGCCACCACCTGGACTGACCTTCAGCACAGAAGCCTTTGGAAACTGTCCAAGTTAAAATCCAAGGACCTTCTGGGCCCAGACTGTTTTCAGTGTTCACATTGTCTCCAACCCGCACAGTTACTCAGAATGTAGGTGTCATACACACAGTCTTCAACTTAGCTTGGTTTCATGCTCCAACTTCACCACAGTTTTTTACAGAAACTGTTACCAGGCTTTAGAGTGTTGGAGTCTCCTAGAAGTGATTTCTAGGTTCTTTCTGTCTTCAACAAAGAATGGATTAGGAAAGGGGATACAGATGAATGTCCATTCTGTATCTGTGTATTCAAAATGGTTAGAATAGATATATAGTTACATTCTCTTAATGAATAGAGGGATTTGTTCTAATGGTGTTTGTAAATAGAATATCATGTCCGCATCTTGTACAGCAATTAACCACTAGGAAGAATGTATGCAATGTATTAATTATTGAAACTGTCCTACTGATTTGGTTTGAAACTGTCTCATTGCTATTTGTTTCTCAATAAAATTATGGAAAAAAAAACCCACTTAAAAAAAAAAAAAAGAATGGATTAGGATAAGCACAAAAAGCGGGGTGTGGCAGCACATGTATAATCCTAGCACTCAGGAGACTGAGGCAGGAGGATCTCTGAGTTCCAAGCCAGTCTTTACTACATAGTGAGTTCAAGTTTAGCTTGAGCTGCAGAGTAAGACCCTGTCTAAAAAACCCCAAAACAAATAAAAGACAATTACAGATAGTAGCAAAATTTTATTAAAGAAACAGACTCTAACAGAGCAAATTTGGGCCAAGTAAAAGTAGGAAATTAAGTACTTTCTCTATCAGTGAGAGCAGGCTGCTGAGAGAGGATACCAGGGTGGACAGCTCAGTGGGGACTATCCTTTTTTTTTTCTTTTTTGTATTTTTAGGCAAGGGTCTACAGGGTGTTCAGGGTCTCACTACTAGATCGGACTCATAGTAATTCTCCTGTTTACAGCCTCCCAAGAGCTGGGATTACAGGAGTGCACCACCACACCATCCCAATGGCCGGCTCAGTACGTCCCAGGGGAGAAGCGGGGGGATGGGGCTGGCACGGCAGGCGATGGGGATCCAATCCCGGCCCCTGCGCCTGCTTGCAGGTGCTTTAGTCCACTGGACTACCCTTTTTGTATTTCCCATTCTTCGAGATGACTTCAGGAATGGGCCATCCTACCCAAAACATGTGGACTTTTGTCAAGAAGCCCATGTACAGGGCTTTGGGAACTGTTCTTAGCATGAATCCTGGGGTTTTGCGATCACTAGGTCATGCCCACCTCCCCAGCCAGTCTGCTGCATCCTAATCTCCTGCCTCAAAAACCCCACTTAAATGTCCATGAACTATTATTGGTGACCTACAAAACCATTCTGTTTCTCAGTTTCGATACATACTCAGTGAGTTCTGTGATTCTGTGATACAGACCTTTGTGCTCTATGATTTAGTCCAGTGCCAGAGTCCAAACACTTTTTTCAGTACTGGAGATTGAATGCAGCACCATTGCAGTGAGTCATAACCCTAAGGTTTTGGATTTTTTTTTTAACTTTTTAAGTTTGAGACTGGATGTCACTCAGTCACTACCAGTAAATTGCTCAGGTTATGCTAGCACTTGCCATCCTTTTGCCTCAGTCTCCCAGACTGCTGGCATGGTAAGTGTGCACCGCTGAACCCAGATATGTCTGTGTGCATTTAAGGTGAGTGATACGGAACTGCCATGCTTGGCGAGTCAGTTGTACTAAGTGTATTTTGACTTGGGATATTTTCAACTTGGGATGGACCTGTCAAGATGCACCCCATCGTGAGTGGAGAAGCATTAATGCTTAGGAACTCCAGCTCCTGAACGTGGAATCCGAGACTTAGCAAGTTCTGTCACTTTTTTAAATCTTGTTTTGTCTGAGCATTGACACTATGCTCTAAGTACCCACAACCCAAGAAGAGGCTCTTTAGGCAGCCTGTGAAAATCTGGGTTGGGCAGCCAGGGAGATAGCTCAGTAGAGTAAGTACTTGCTTGGCAAGCACAGGGTCCTTAGTTCAATCTCCAGCACTGCAAAAAACCAAACCAAAACAAAACAAAAACCACAAACCTGAGTTGGGGCTGGCACTGTGGGGATGGGGGTGGGCCATGGTAGTGTGCACATGCGACATTTAATTACCACCAACAAGCTATGCTCCCTTTTAATGGCCTCATTTCAAGAAGCTTTCTCCCTTTTCATAAGTGTGCTGCCCCAGGGAGAGGATAATGTCAGTGTTGTTACCTGCAATAATATGCCATTAATATCCAGCAGTGCTAAAAGATGCCAGCTCTGAAATGCTTGCTCCCTGAGGAACATTTTGTGTCCAACTTAATCTTTGCTTTCTATCTATGATATCAGAGCCTTCCAAAGCATCCATGGACTGACAGAATGTGTTTAATTGCATGTGAGAGATTTAGGCTTTAATCAACAAAGAAAAGAAGCAGGACCAACACTCATAAACTGCACTCAGCAGGGGAGTTTGTGGGCCCAATCCCAGCATCCTTTTGAGGACACAGGGACCAAATCCTGTTGTACCTGACTATCCCTTGCACTGCTTTCGATTTTGGTGCATGAATGATGGTCTCATTCCTCATAGGGTTGGATACCTCTGTGGGTGGCATTTCACCATGTCCCCAAGCCAAAGGTGGTATTGCAAGAAGCCAGAGCTGGATTTTGGGAAATTAAGACATATAGAGAGGCCTTTGGCAGTAGAGTGTAGCCTTCAGGCCTTCAAGTCCTGGTGATACTAGGCACAAGGGAACTTTTATCTCCTTGAAAATAGAAGTTAATAGCTCAATGGATTAAAGTGCCTGCAAGCAGGCACAGGGGCTGGGGGTTTGATGCTGGGCCTGCCATGCTGGCTTCATCCTGGAGACAAGCTGAGATGGCAATTGAGACTGGGCATGATAGCATGCGCCTGTAATCCCAGCTCTTGGAAGGCTGTAAATAGGCAGATCACTATAAGTCCAATCTAGTAGTGAGACTCTGAACACCCTGTAGACCCTTCCCTAAAATACAAAACCAAAGAAAGAAAAAAGAAAGTAGAAGTTAAATATGAGGTAAAGATGCCCCAGGCAAAAACTATAATTGAAAAAAAGGAATTTGAAGAGTTTAAAGTTCAAAAACATTGTCTCTGAAGGTTTTTCCTAGTATTTTTCCCCTCACTGGTTAAAGGTACGGAAGGACTTTTGCAGCTCTTAGTTGTGCAATTTCCAAGTCACTTAGACTAGTAAGGGTGGGGCTGGGAATATATTTTCCTAGCAGATTCTCCATGCTTCTGATGTTGCTGGCCATGGTCCACTGTGAGAACACTAAGCTGCATTCTGTCTCCCTGCAGACAGACACCCAAGGTTCTTCTCGGATAGGTGGTCCTGCTCTAATACCAACCAGCTTTTTTTTTTTTTTCCTGTGGTACTAGGAATTGAACTCAGGACCTTGAGCATGCCAGGCAAGCACTTATTCTACTGAACTATCTCCCCAGCCCTCTAATACCAACTGGGACTTGTGTATCTTTTTTTGCTCTTACTGCTGCATATAGCCACAGAACTCAAATGTGCCTGATGCTGAACATCCTTTCAGGAAGAAGAGAAACATCTTGGGTAATACATTTGAAGGGGAATGGAACTACCTTTCAGCACAATAGGAAAAGGACCCATGACAGTCTCGGTGAGGTCAGAGTGGTGATGTTACTAATGCTCTGATTTTTTTATAGGATTCTGAGAAGTGTGGGCCCCCAACAGAAAAAGTTGCACATACAAAATAGTTTTGTATGTAAATTTAGAAGGCTCAGGGTCCCTCTAAAGAATTTCTGTGGATACAGACAACCTATAACAGAGATAACAAGGTAGACTGGAAAATTGGGTAACTTGGTTTCGGTTTCTCCACATCAGCGTCTCTCAATGCCAGCTATGCAGCAACATTACCTGGAAGTTTTGTTCAAAGCAAAACAAAGCAGAATGTTTACCATGGTGGGAATGTCAAGATTCAAAACCATAGCACAGAAGGGGTACAGTGTGCCCTGGTATACCCACCCCTACTCAAAGCCAAGGGAAGGCAGTTCTGTGGGCAACCACCTTTTACATTAACGGTACAGTGTATCTCTAGGAGAAAATGTGCGCCCATTGTTCACATACCACAGTATCATTATTACACCTTTAAAATTTTAATTCATCTGCACTGGTCATATTTTCTCTTTTACTCTTCTGTCTTTTGTAGTTGATTTCTTCCACTGTGAACCTAAAACAGTGTCCACACATTGTCCTTTATAGCCACCCCCCAACCTCTTTCTTTTCTTCCTTAGCCTTTATCTGTTGAAGGGTAGGGAGTTTTGTCTTTAATCATGCCCAGACAGCCCTGGCCTAGCACCATGAGGGGGCATCTCCAACGTCTTCTACCACCTGGTATGTGGGCAGACTTTAAGAATGCATCACTGTTCTTTAGGTGATGAATTAAAACCAGGTCGCCACTTACCCGGTCTGCTGGAAGACTTGAGGGATCCGCTTTGTATGGAGACTGTGGAAATGCAAGAAAGGAGAAATGGCCAAACACAAGAAATCCCGGGTTCCCAGCCCCTGGGTGCAAGGCCAAGCAGGGTTCCATCAGTGCCAGTGGCCCTAACGCACCTCCTTCCTTCTGCAGGCCCAGTCTCGCGAGAGCCAGACGGCGCTGCGACCGCATGGGGACATGGCCCTGCTCCCCCGGACCGCAGGGACACCCGACCCGGAGCCTGGCGGCGGCAGAGGATACCCCAAAGTGGCCCGAACCCGGCACGTCATCATCAACGTGGGCGGCTGCAGGGTGCGCCTGGCCTGGGCTGCGCTGGCGCGTTGTCCCCTCGCGCGCCTCGAGCGCCTGCGGGCCTGCCGAGGCCACGACGAGCTGCTGCGCGTGTGCGACGACTACGACGTGAGCCGCGACGAGTTTTTCTTTGACCGTAGTCCGTGCGCCTTCCGAGCCATCGTGGCGCTGCTGCGAGCTGGGAAGCTGCGGCTACTGCGCGGCCCTTGCGCGCTGGCCTTCCGCGACGAGCTGGCCTACTGGGGCATCGACGAGGCGCACCTGGAGCGCTGCTGCCTGCGCCGCCTGCGCCGCCGCGAGGAGGAGGCTGCCGAGGCGCGGGCAGGGCCGGCGGGGCGCGGGACACCGGGGAGCCCGGCTCGCGCCCTGGGGCCCGGGCGGCTGGAGCGCCGCCGGTGGCGCCTCCGCGACGTGGTGGACAATCCGCACTCGGGGCTGGCGGGCAAACTCTTTGCCTGTGTCTCTGTGGCCTTTGTGGCCGTCACAGCTGTTGGCCTCTGCCTGAGTACAATGCCGGACATCCGCGCGGAGGAAGAACGGGTGAGTGCGTGTGTGGGAGGCTGTGGCCAGAATACATTGGGGGGATGGGATGGACGCCCTTCAGGGTAATCTTTGAGGTGCGTGCCCCTTCCCTGCAGCACTGATTGGCTCATTGGCTCATTGGCTCATAGTTGAGTGGCTGCAAATGAGTTCCAGTGAGGTGACTGTTAGTCTCTAATCTACATTGCATTTCAGGACTGGCACATGCAGTGCCTGTCCTTGGTCACACCAAGCCAAGGAGATGGAGTCCCCGCATTCTCCCAGACCAGCATTTAGGGCCCACTCTCCATCCTATTTACTAATCCAAGATTGCCAGGGTGTGAAACAAGAACAGAAATGTCATTTGTGGGTTTACCAGAGTTCCTTTGACAAAGCAAGGGAGTCAAGAGAAAGCCCCACAACAGTAGTGAACGTTGTGAATCATGAAACATTCTCAACCCAATCAGGAAAGGATGTACACCAAGCAGGGGTTTGTGTTGTCGAGGTTCTGGGGTTAGTGGGAAAGGGAACGCTGCTGTGTGGCTGTTGCTGGCATCCTCTGGCGCTTCTCTGAGCAGCTTCCCACAGTGAACCCCAGCAGGACTGCTCAGCTCTACTGCCCAGAGGCTGTGCTTGAGCTCATCTGGAGGGCTTAACGCATTATTTAGAGAAACTAAATTGCCCAAAGAGTGTGTCAGCCCCAACTGCAGGTTAAAGTGTAAGTTTTAGGATACTGGCTTGTCGTCTTCACTGCTTGAGTGTCCTATAACTGAGCTGTCGCTTTCAGTTGTCTTCCACAGTTTCTGACTACTTCTCAGAAGCAGTTATTCTGTACAGTATACAGGAGGGAAAGGTTATTCCTATAGGGTCAGGGGATGGGAGCAATCAGAGCTGCTCAGCTAACCCAGGACCCAGGGAGCCCCAAACCCCAAATTCTCATAGGATCATCCACTGCTCCACTTGTCACCCACCTCTTCCCACTCGTCCGGTGCCCTCAGTGGAGGTGGTATAGACTGTTGTAGCCACTTTGGAAAAGCTGCCTGACAGCAGAGGGAGAGCTGTAAAAAGACCTTTCAAATATCTGTGTATTAGGCAGGAAAAAAGTGGTGGCTTTCACTGGTGTATTAGTGACATATTGGAAGCCAGGGAGCCTCTAACTGTACAGCAAGGGGCTGGCTAAGTGAAACATCTCTGTCCCCTCAGTGGGATATGGGGAACCTTAATATGTCAGGAACTTATCTGAAAAACTCTCCTACTTGTAATCAAATACCCACAGATTAACATGACAAATCATAGTATTAACACAAACTAAGATGAACAAGTGTCAGTTCATGGTCCCTGATGCCCAGCTGCTAGAGGATGACTTTGAGAACTAAATCCCCTGCCTGTCAGGATTTTGGTGATATTTGTCAGAATATAAGCTCTTAATGAAAAATGAGTGGTATTCCTGCCAAAGAGTCCATTGATCCAATGTGTGTGGGAAAGCAGGGCAGAGATTATAGGGCACATAGTGCTTTCTCAGGTGTAGGGTAGCAGGTACCTACATATAACCCATGACATATCTAATACGTCTTGGAAGACCTTGACCCTAAATCTGGCCAGGATGACCTTCTGGTGTTTTGAGAAAATGAGAGCAGATAGGATAGCATACCTGGCTTTTGTCTACACACATACCCTGCTTTGCTGAGATTCTCCTTTAGTGTGTTCCTTTGTGAGATCATCATGGTGGGGCTCGGTGGGGGGAAACTTAAGCATGTTTGTCCACTGAATGGTGCAGGTACTAAATTAATAGGTGTTAGCAGCAACTACAGGAAGGAAAATTTTCTTATTCTATCAGTATTTTTCTTTTAGTAAAATATACATAAAACTTGCCATCTTGGCCTCTTTTGGCATGGTTAAGTTAATTTTGTGTGCTAGAATCATTGCACAGCTGTCACACCATTCATCTCCAGGATTTTCTGTCCGACTTAAGGAAGAAGGAAATCGGACCTGTGCCACAAAGGGCATGGACCTTGAGGGCATTATGCTCAGGGAAATAAATTCATTACAAAAAGGCAAATATTGTATGATTCCTCTTATATGAAATCACTACAGTAAGCAATTTGACAGACACAAAAAATGGCTGGTGCCAGGGGTCATGTGGGGGTAGGGAGACAGCATCAGATGGGACAGTGTCTGTGTTGGATGGGACAGTGTCTGTCAGGGACATGGAAAGTTCTGGAGACAGATGATATGATGACTGAGACCCTGAAGCACCTGCTGCGCTGAGATGTGCATTCAGTATGAAGGTGGCACATTTTGCTTTGTTTGTATTTTACCTCCGCACACATATTCATGGAGATTTACAAACTCAGGAGAAGTCAAGAGAAAGATATTTGAGAGGAAGAACTTTGTAGCTTTGTGACCATCCATGACTTGAAGCTGAACTCAGCAGAATGTGAGAGTGACACACTTTGAGAATCCAAACATTAATTATGGTCACAGAGTTTATCTTCACATCTTACCCTGACTCAGGAGAGTCATTACCCATGGTTCTCGATTTGCTGATATCCAGCCCCTTCCCCCAGCAGGCCCATTGTATATCCTCAAATATGTCCCTTTGCTTGCATCTCATGTGGCCATAGAACACCAGGCAGCTCTGATGCTTTCTTTCCACAGGCAGGGATGCCAGTGGAATGGAAGGTATCATTCTGTTGCTTGTGAATGTCTTGTGGCAAGGAATGGGTTGCCTTAACTTTACCCCTGCTGCACAGCCAGGACCTAGCACAAGTGTTCACATTAATGGTCATCTGGGCAGCTTTACTGGCCCTGATCCTAATTGCACCTAAGTGATTTATTTAACCCCAGGGAAACCAGCTGCCCAGACCTCTCCAAAAGTTTACTTCTCTCACCCCTCTCTCTGAAATAGGCCACTTTGAGAGGGTTGTGGGGGCCACCACCTGCCTTTGGTCCCTCCCTCCTTCAGCTGGCTTTCTTTAATGTGGAGGACCAAGGGGTTTCCAGGCAACAAGAGCTACCACCCACTCAGTGGCCCCACAGCCTGGCGAAGGAATGATACACCTGGGTCCTGGAAGTTTGTTTGCCTGATTGGCAAAGGACCCGAAGGAGTGCCTGGGCCTGCAGCTGTGACCTCTGTAAACCCTGGCAGGTTTCTGGGCTAGTTGGAGTGTTGGGCAAGGTCCCATCTCTGCTGGCCACACAGTGTGCCATACATGGCCCCCATACTGCCATGGTGCCTCACACTCTCCAGCCCCTCTCAGAATCTACAGAGGCTATTCACCCCAGGACAGGTGGGCATAAGAGCTAATAAGGTCTTAGCCTAGGGCCCGTACTTACAGCATTGAAGTAACATGGCGGCCAGTGAGAGAGTGAATTAAATGTCTATCGGGTAGGCATGGGCATTATGGAGGCATAGGCTAAAGCACCCTCGGATCATCCCATTTGTGTCATAGCTAACACTGCTGGGCTTAAAACAAAGATTTATTTTGATACAGTTCTTGTAGGCAGTGTTCAAAGTGGTCTCCTGGAGCAGAATCAAGATGTAGCAGGGCTAGTTCCTCATGGAGATTGAAGAACGATTTCCTGCCCAAGGTTTGCTGCCCCTCCTCCAGCAGTGCTGTGGGAACTCATTGGTCTCTCAGTATACCCTGGGCAGCAACAGTGGCAGGAAGGAGGAAAAGATAGACAAGAGACAAGAACTGGGTTCAGGTAGAACCTTGTTTGCTTGATTGGAAAAGGACCCCATGAATAACAGTAGACATTTGTACCTTTGCAAAGTTACTATCATAAGACACAAGGTTGCCTGGCAACTAATGGTTGAAATTGTCTAGACAGGATGCTTTTTTCAAGACTGAGGTAGCTTGATTGCTTTAGGCACTAGACCTTGTCCTTCCCTCACACATATGACCAATTTCCAGCTTCAGCCACTCCCAACACAGTACCAAAGTATACATTCCCTTCTCCATTGACACTTGGTGCCTTTAGCTTCCTCTTATGAAGACCCTGGGACCACACAACTCATCTAAGGAACTCAGGACAATCTCCCATTTTGAGGTCCTTAGTTGGAATGGTAAATCTTGGGTGTCAACTTGATTGGACTGAGAAATATGCTGATGAATAGTCCATGACGAAAGGACATGATTGGGACTGGGGAGATAGTTCAGTAGAATAAATGGTTGCCAGGTAAGCACAAGGGCCTGAGTTCAATCCCCAGTCCCGCAAAAAAACAAAACAAAACAAAAAAAAAAACCCAAAACTTTCCTGAAAGGAAGTGATGAATTTTGTAGGAAATTAGTAAAGCACACTTCTGGGAGTGGGTGGTTTCAGAAAGAATAGGAGCACAAGAGCTCTGATTCTTCTATTGATGAGGTCATCATTTGATAGCACTATGGGAAAGCCATGGAACTTAGATGACCTTTATAGAAAGGAGATGGTCTTGGGAGGTCATCAAATGTAGGCCTGAAGGCTACATTTGGTGTCTGGCACCTCCCCAACTGGCTCTTTTCCCCAGCTCTACTTTGTGGCTGCTGGGAGGTGAGCAACTTTCCTTCACTATGCCCTTCTTCTTTGGTATTTCTGCCTTAGACCATTAACTGAAAGCTCTGAAACTGTGACACAAAATAAATCTCTCCTCATTTAAGATGAGTATGTCAAGTATTTTGTCTAAGCAATGGAAAGCTGACTAATACAACAAACCAGACTTCTTTTTCATGTGAGGTGACGTATACTCAGGTTCTGGGGTAATGATGTGGATACCTTTTGGGACTGCTATCTAGCTGGCCACACCACAACACAGTAAAGGGCCAGCCTGCTGCCCTGTTCCCACGACAAGTCTCATGAGTCTTGCTGTGCATCATGTGTGGAAAGCCACAATTCCTGCTGCTCCAGAGGAGTCTGGCATGTACCTAATGTCCTGGCACCTGTACAGCACCCAGAGGAAGAGGGACATGTGCTGAAGCTCTTCAGAAGAAGTGTTGCTGGCTACAGGGATAGAAAGAAGGCCAGTGTGTTCACACATAGCC